CCCCCTCCAAAAAAAAAAAAAAAACTTATATGGGACTTCCCCCGGCCTTGATGGCATGTTGCTCGGACGGCCTCGCTTTTGGGCGCTGCTTCGGAGGTGGTGGATCCCAGGACTCTTCGTTAGGGTTTAGGGTTTAGGGCTTCGGGTTTACATGTTGCAAGTTGACTGTGGGTTTAGGATATAGGGTTCATGCCTGAGGTCGTTCGCCTTTGGGCTCCATCATTCCGTGATGTAACTTGAATACAATATTTATTAGTATGCTATAGCAATGTATGCTACCGTAGTATGCCAAAAATACTATAGCAGACTATAGTCTTCTACAGTAGACTATAATATACCACAATCTACTTAGTATAGCATACTCTGCTGTTCTGTGCTAATGTAACATACTACAATACAGTGTATCGCACGTACTATAACTAACATATACTGTGCATGTATATATATATATATATAGTATGAGTTGTATATAACCCTAAACCCCAAGCCCTAGGTCTTGCTACGGGGTTGTAGGGCTCCTGGTGGTAAGGATCAAATATCGGGCTCCAGGCTCCAGCCCAGAAGAAAACTGATTGGGAGAGGGTTTGGGGCAAGTTTCGGGAGCAGTGTAAAACCAAGGGTTCGTTAGGGTTTAAGGTTTACAGGAACTGCCATAAACCTGGAAACTGGCCCTACATGAACCCATAACGCCCCAAAGACAAACCATCGGGATTACTGATATTCCCTTTTCTGGGCTTGTTGCGGTAACACTAAACCCTCACGGCTTGGCCTGTAAGCTTCAAGCTTCAAGTCATTGACGAAATATGACCAAGACAGTCCTTGAAACGCAATATTGGAGAAGGAGTATTGAGCACTTTCTGGGTCTAGGACATTTTCAGGTGGGTAGCTACCGTTATAGGAGCCTTATAGAAGGTCTATATACCTTATGGAAGCCTTATTATGAGGCCGGAAGCCCTATATACCCTAAACTCCCCACCTGTAGTTTCCTTCAACTGGGTGGACAAACCCGGAACACCATAAGTCCCTAAACACTGAACCCTCACAGCCAAAACACGGGAACACCGAACCTTTTCGCGTTCCGAGACCCTCACCTATCCCAAATACGTAGTATAATATGCTACATGCTCTATAATTATACCCTAACATATACCAGAACATGCAGTGAATATAACCCTACACCCCACGCCCTACATCCTACCACGGGCCATATGCCCCGATGGGAGGGTCCGGGTTGACTTCTCACATCTTCCAACATTCATTAAACAAAGCGTAGACCTTAAGCAAGAGTAGACAAATGGTTTAAGGTAAGAACTCAAGAAAAAACCCTTAAACTACAGCAGACTATGATTTAAGGGTATATTCCCAAAAAATAAACAATATGCCTCAGATTATGGTTTAAAGACTATTCCTGAGTTAATAAAGGACTTTGGAAGATCCGGGTTCTCTTTTCGGGTGCCCAGTGGCTCGATAAAGAGCTGCAGGCGCGGGAGGAGTCGGCTGATAACTGGAGAATCCATCTCCTCAGGGTGTATATAGGGTTTAGGGTTTAGGGGTTGAGGGTTTAGGGGTTTAGGGGTTTAGGGGCGTAGGGTTCAGGGGTTTAGGGCTTCTGGGTTTTAGAAATTATTGGTTTAGGGTTTAGGCTTTATGGCTTTAGCTTCGGATTAAGGGTTTAAGGTCAACTGGAGAATCCATCTCATTGGCGCTTTCTTGCGTGAGGGTGTGTGGAGTTTTACCCCTGATCGGCTTTATAAGCTTCGGGCTAAGGGTTTAGGGCTTAGTGTGTTTGGATCTCCAAAGCTTTTAGTTGGTAGGGTGCAGAGTTCAGCGCTGTTTGGGCTGAGGGTTTGGGGTCGCAGGCAAGTTCGGGGCCCAGGCCAAGGACTCACAGGGTTTGAGGTTGATAGGGTTTAGGGTTTAGGGTTTGAGTGTCTTGGCGATACCTGGAGGGTCTGGGTACTCAGAAGTAGAACTAGGAGTATGGCACACATACAAACACAAATACACACATACATCGAGATAAGCAAACACATGGAAATACAAAACCGCACATTTGTTGCGTGTGTATAAACATGTATACACACTATGTACATTTTTTGTGGACTAAGTAGTAATAACAACAGCAACAATAAGATGCCGCATGTTAAATGGCTCTTTCCACAGGTTCTCTCTCTCTCTCTCTGTCTCTCTGTCTCTCTGTCTCTCTGTCTCTCTCTCTCTCTCAAGCACACACGTGCGGATTGGGAGACATCCTGTCCTTAGCTCAACACACACACACATGCCAAATATAGGGGCCTTAACCACTAGAATGGGGCTTATGGGTATATCACACTCTACTTGTAAAATAGAACCCTAACGAATACTGTGGGCAATCAATCCGATCCCTACACTACACAACCTTCAACCCCGCGGTTTATTTCCTAGGCCCTAAACTCTACCTAAAACCCTAAACCCTAAACCCCTAAACTCCTAATCCTAGGACCCCTACAAACCCTAAACCCCGAACGCCTAAACACTAAACCTCCAAACCCTAAACCCTAAACCCTCAACCCCTAAACCCCGAATCCCTAAACACTAAACCCTCTAAACTCCCAAACCCTGAACCCCTGGACCCCGAAACCCTAAACCCGCCTGAAACCTCAGCTCCCCAGCTGCCCATCCTCATTCCTCCCAAGCTGAAACCATCTGTTACAAGCTCGAAGAACCTGACGCAAACTACACTTCCCCCTTATAACACCGAAAATGGTACTCCCGGGACAAAATACAACTTTTGTCATGGTAATTGTATATGCGCCGGATTCTGAAGGTCACTCTAATTCGAGGCTCGAATGTGATCTCCACGGTCAGCGTATCTTGTCCGTGGGCCGCGGTGACTGCGCTGCGGATGAGGAGGTCGCCGGTTTCCCTTGGATGGAGAAGGAGGCTCGTGGATCCGGGCCCTGGAGGCTTCAATCTTAAGGATGTATTTAGAGTTGTAGGGTGTTGTAGGGCTGTAGGGGATTTAATAGGGTATTTAGAGTTGTAGGGTGTCGTAGGGCTGTAGGGGATTTAATAGGGCATTTAGAGTTGTAGGGTGTTGTAGGGCTGTAGGGGATTTAATAGGCTGTACGGGATTTAATAGGGCCAGGGTATTTAGAGTTGTAGGGTGTTGTAGGGCTGTAGCGGATTTAATAGGGCCAGGGTATTTAGAGTTGTAGGGTGTTGTGGGGCTGAGGGGATTTAATAGGGCCAGGGCATTTAGAGTTGTAGGGTGTTGTAGGTGTTTAATAGGGCCAGGGTATTTAGGGTTTAGAGTTTAGAGTTGGGGCTTGGGGGTTTCGGGTTTGGGTCGGATGGCCCGGGCGGCAGGTGGGGGGGGTGAAACGCTGAACCCTAAAACCGAAATCCATGAATGAACCACATGATAATCAACGCCGAACCTCATATTCTTTTCAATTTTCGCGAGGACCAGCCGCAAAAAGACTGCAACGCTCAACACCGGCATTCCACCACAGCTGGGAAGCTGGTGAACCCTGAACCCTAAACGCCAAACCCTACCACGTCCTGGGACACTTCAGGGGTTAGGATTTCGGGATGAAGGATTACGGGTTAAGGCTTTAGGGGTTAAGTTTAAGGGTTGAGGGTTATCCAAGCTTGACTTGTCCGAAACAGTTTCTGTGCACAGGGCATCCATCGAGAGCGAAGGTACGAGCCAATGCAGGGGCCTGCTTGGGTTCTAATATAGGGTGTATGTAGTATGGAGCTGGCTACAGGGAGGGCCACAAAACATTAGAGTAGGGGTTAGGGACGGTTAGGGTTTAGGTTGTAGGATGTAGGAACTGTTGCAGGATCGAGGAAGACCTGCACGCTGACTATTTCTGCCATGCGGTCGAGACCACTTCTGAGTCAAACATGAAAGGGTGGTGGCTATTGTAAGGACGACATGACCCTCAATAGTCGAGGCCTAATGTCCTGAACAGTGTGAGCCCCCATATGGTAGCAGCCTTTCAGGGTACATTTCGTCCTTCCCAGATCTCCCAGTACGCTTTAATTAAGAAATATACCTTTACATTGCAGTAAGATCCCTAAGATGATTCCAGGTAGATGTATTCCTTAACTAAGGGCCTCTGGAAGATCTGGCTCATAAAAGGTCATAAAGATGAGCTAAATTTCAAACACCTTGACCGGACAAGCACTGGTCGGAGACTCGGGCTTGGCAGCACCTACATGGTTTGGAGACCTCTAGGAACGACATGAAGCCTAGCCTAGAGGACCCAAAACCCTGAGTTCAGCGATAAACTACACTGCAAACCACGACGTGGATCACCCTACAGTATGTGTATAAACACCTCTGTATACTCCAAACCTAATTACGGGATTTTGGCGTCTCTGGATGCCGTTTAGTTTAGAAACCCTCAGAAGGAGAAGGTGAGTATCTGCCAGTCACAGCCGAGTCTCGAAACCGTGCGTGCACAGGCACACACTGCCAAAAGGGCGTTGCAACAAGCAACACCCATGACCGTGAGGCAGGTGCACTAGAAAACTGAGATTCAGACTTTACGTCCGGAACGGCGATAGCTACTATGCATACTACAGCCATACGGACTTGACAAGCCTCAGACCACCGAGTTCACTGGTATTGCCTCGACGGACGGTGGCCATCTGTGTGTGCACATCGTCGAGGAAGCTGTGGTCACAAACAGGGCTATGCCCGATAAACTGAATCATTTGCCTCAAGCTCATGCGAGAAAGGAGCTTGTGCAGATTCCTCATGGTCCTCATTGTCATGGGTGATGAAAGACATGGGCTGGAGCATTTATCGATCTCCCAGTGGATCTGCTGCTGCAGGTAGAAAGACTCGACAAGCACCCCATCCAGAGAAGCACGCTCAAAGAACTGCTGCAGAAGCAACTGCAACACATCTGCGCCGGCAAGGCTCTGCACCGCTGCTCTTTGGTTTTTGTCGGGCTTCTCTTTGCTCTTGCTCCTCAACGACTTTTGGGACTCGTCCATGCGGCTGACTGGCTGCGCTGACCTCGTTCGCGCGTTAAGCGTGCATGAGCCTAGCAAAGGGAGTTTGATAGTCAGAACAGAACAGTCAGAGTAGAGTTTGGGGTACAAACAGTCTACCAGAACTATAACTATAACTATAACGACGGTATAACGAAGAACCACAAGGAATGTATGTTAGTCAGACCCCCGGAAACCCTGCAGCCATGTCACGCATCGCAGGGATTGGCTGCCTGCTGCATGGGTGAAACCGCTCTCGTCCTGGTGGCGGCTTGCGCACTCTAAACCCGAAGCCCTACAGTACGGAGAGCGTGACAGCAGAAGCTCGGACATCGACTACAGCACCGTGCGAGGACCCAATGACACCTTCAACATCTCTAAAACCCTAAACCAAGACCCAAACCATCCCACACCCTAAAACTAAAACCAGCGACCCTGCTGCCCAGCCAACAGCCTCCTGCACGAAGGACTTGGAGAGGCAATGAGAAGGGATGCCGAAGTATGCTTACGACTACTCAGTAATCGGAGCCTACACAGCTGGCAGGAACCAAAGCAAGCA